GATAAACACATAAAAATTGAATATAATATATTGTATATAAACATATGATCTCGGAAAAACTAGCTTTTGTGAGTCATAAATACTAAATTGCTCAAACATGACATTTCGCAATTACTATATTATATGACAATGACGAAAGTCTTGAAAATTTGCAAAAAAGTTGTTTCTTTCTATTTATACACCATAAATTATGTTTCTACAAGATACCAGAATTAATAATTATGAATTCTTTAGATGATGTATGTATGTTCTCTCGCAAATAACTACTAAATTTATGACAACAAAAAATATTTAAGAACCTAGAAGGAAATACTGTATACAAAACTGTTGGAATATATGTAGATATATAAGGTAATGTATAATTATATATGTTAAATAATATATTAAACTACTGGCATGCTGTAAAAATTTACTAGTTAAAAGTTGAAATAACCAAATAATTCTAATAGTAGGTAAGCTGTCATTACGATTTACTATTAGGTAAAAAAATATATAATTATTATAAGTATGTATTAGTGTCAATTTACTTAAAACAGTTTCAAATAAAATCACATAGGTATATAGGTACAGCGTAATATTGCTGTAAAATTGGAAATGTAATCTTCATATAATTTTTATAAGAAATTTTAACACACTAAAACTTATTATATTTTCATGAATCTTTTGATATCCTTATTTAAATCACCGGTCCTCGCAAACAATATTCACAATCGATCTAAACGAAATACTATGAACATGTAAATTTGTTTGTCGTGAGAAAAATCAGCAACAATACAAACATACACACACTTTATGTTAATATACATTTAAGATTCAAATACGGGAGCATCACACAAGTTTATACCCGCGACTTCACTTACATATGCTAATATAAAGAAGAATAAGATTAAATCTGGTGTGAATATATTATAAGTAATTGAATTACATAATATATACAAGGTGACTGGTGAATTACTATCGATATTTGAGGACGTGATATTTGACGATCATATATGACAAAATAAAAATTAATATAACATAAATATTAATAAACTTCTAAGTAAAGTTAACCAAAAGTTATGTAATTAATTACGCATCGTATGAACACCCTACAGATTAGGTATACACACACACTCACACAGACGCGGCGGCGGAGTAGTGTTGTATAGCACGCCGCCGCATGCGTTCACACTTGGAACACTTGGAACGTGTACACACTTTATTTATTTATACGGAAATTTGGTCAAAAATTAAGTACCTATTTTTTTTACATAATTCGAATGAGAATCATGTACCGAGTATTCTCCTTAAATATTGATAGTAATTCACCAGTCACCCTGTATAGTTGTGGGAATTTTAAAATATATTATTATTATAGGTATCTGTGAGATCAAGTATCGCGGATCTCGCGAATCACACATTAGGTCGGCCAACCCACATCCCACACGTCGCGTAATAAAAATCACCCCCACAAGGGTGCATTGCCAAATCGCCCTATACCAATCAATCGGCATCGACTCACGATTGGTTACCAACCCTCCGATATAACCGATAAAGAAAAAACCCGCTAAATCACAACGAGACACAATAATAACTTACGAATGTACGGCGATGACTTGCAAGAGGAGCTCAACTTACACTGGGTTTAACACATGTGTTGGGATGAAAGTTTTATTTTCCCTGATTTCCCCTATTCCGGGAATCCTCGCCTCTTCCCGAGGGAGCCTGTCCAATCAAATTAAATTCGCGATTGACGTCCCGACGTTTGAATTCCAAATTGTTTTTTTGCTGTTCCAATTATCATATTGCTATGATATTATATATTTATAATGTAATATTAAAATGTGTTTATGTTTATTATATAAGTAGCAAACAGCGTTAGATAAAGGTGTAAACATCAGGTGGAACAATCAAGGACATACAAATAATTTACGGTTTTTATTGAAATTATTTTTTTTATTTTACTATGTATGTATCGATATCACCTGCCACATACACTGTTTATATTTAAATTAATATATATTTTCATTAATATATTTCTCATATATCCCTACTAATATTATAAATGCGAAAATAACTCTGCCTGTCTGTCTGTCTGTTACGCTTTCACGCCTAAACCACAGAACTGATTTTAATGAAATTTGGTACAGAGATAGTTGACCTTGAGGAAGAACATAGGATAGTTTTTATCTTAGACTTTTGAAAGGTACTCTATGAAACGCGATATTACCGAACTCCACGCGGGAGAAGCTGCGGGCGAAGTTGCGGGTGGAAAGCTAGTATCAAATAAATCAACAATATATTTAACATCATATATTTTTTTATATTTCTCAATTCAAGAGCAACAAACTTAATTGTCACTGAAAAAAAATACTTTATTTTAACAACCATTGAAATAATAATATGAATAGATACTACAATTTTAATGAGTTATTCTGAATTTTTAATGAACTACCTATATTAAAAATATACAAATTATCCAAGATTATATCTCTTATATATTTAAAATATTTTTGTATATAGCTTATATAATTCCTTGTCAACGATAACTTAATACATTAAAAGCTAACCAAAAACCATATAATATGTTAAAACGACGTAACTAATACTAATTAAGAATATTTTAGTTTTATAGCTATTTAATTTTTAATATATACAACAATAAAATAATCATTGATCTATATTATTCATGGTTTTACTAATGATATACAAACATAAAATATATATATAATTATTATTAGTTAAATTATCATATGCCTTATGAAGACGAAAAGATGAAGTTATTTTACAGTGAAACTTAAACCTCTCGGTATTAAAGACTTTAAAGATTACGTCAAACTCAGCCCATAACGGATAAAAAAATAACACACATATAAAACACGGCTCATTAAAATTCTAATACAATCTCAGGCAAAGTCATTGACACAGCTAGTATATGAGGAATTTTAATACAATATGAAATTATTTCGCGATGATGCCATATGTATTTGGTTTTTATAAAAACTATATTTAATTTAAAATAGACATAATTATTACAATGGCATTGTTATAATACACGTAATTAATATGAAAAATATGTAATGTTGAAAAATCATTGAATTTTATCAAAAAATATATTTGAGAACTCAATTCATTCGCATGTCCCTCAATCAGTATAATTTGTTAATAGAATCTTTAAAATATAATGCTCATTTTGTCATCTCTTCAAACAAAATATCACTCAATATTACAAAAAGATATAGTTTTGTTACATGAGTGTATAGTAAAGTACGGTTTGATAGAAAAGCATTTATCTGTTCGGTTCGGTTCAATTCGATTTGTTCAACCAATGAACATTATACCATACAAAACAAAACATAAGTACGCTCCACATGATAATTAGAAATATTATTAATTAAGTTTTCATTTGTATCAATCTCGAACATTCGATTGACCGAACTGTAAAACTTTCATAGAGAGCATTATGAACTCTATTTAATGACAATAAGGTTTATATTATAGTAACCTTCACATTGTTTATGAGGCTAATTAAAGTGGCTAGTTTATTTTCTAGGACAACGCGATCACTGCGGGGTATCAACATAAAAACTGCAATTGTATAAAAATCTGGTTCATCTTCAATACGTTTGAGAACATGTGTGGAACCACATATGTCGATTAATCCTTCCTTATGTTTAAAAATAACACCAAGCGAGAGAAGATAAACCATAGCTTTATAGATTTAGGATTGAAAATCCCATGAGGATCTAGGATTTGGTCACTTCGCTATTATTAAACGGTCATCATATTCAAGGACGCGTTAACTATCAGGAATCCATATCAGTTACAGCCAAATACTAAATATACATAATATATGAAAGTACAAAATGCATCCTTTACATACATTTAAATATAAAAACTTTTACCATACTTTATAACACAAAAGAACATATAAAACAAATCATTCCTAATGCATAGTATTTTAATATCATTTAATTGTATAAGCTCGCGGAGATATAAATCAGTATTCTAACCATCGGAATCAAGAGAAGACACAAAAAGAATAACGACTGGTTTGTCCGAAACTTAATAGAGGTCCTGGGTTTAATTTATAGGATAAAAAAGGACACGGCGTCAGATCACCTATGATTATGGAGGGTTGCACCCCTATTACATTAATATGAACCCTTTCGGACGATTCATTATTTCAAAAACCTTAACGTGCGTTGGCATTCACCTTGGATATAGTTTTTTTTTTCTTGCCTATTATTTCAGTGTGATGTTGCTTAGTTTTAGAGCGCGACTCGATGTATTTGAACATTTTTTAACAATCAATTTTGATATACATAAACGCGAATACGTTTCTGATATAAATGTATATTAATTCTTATAAACATAGGCAAATGAATATAGATTTTTAATAAGATACAATTATTATTTGAATTAACTTTCCAAATATATAATATTATTAACAATATATTCGTATGTAATAGTACTTCTAAATTCAATGTACATAACCAAGTAGCGAGAACCAAGTCATAGATCAATTCTCATCGTACGGGCTACAGTCCCCCTTTCATTTCAAAGCGCAGTATTTCCAGCATGACGTATCACCTATGCATATTAATTTGGCGTTTAATTTCTATAATAATAATACGCACGTACCCCAACTCTTTGTTTTAATGCCTCCCCGTGAACGAGTAACGGTCCGACGAGCTCCATTCACATTGACAACAATAAAACTACTATTCTATAGAAATATGGAGTGGTAATTAGGTCATCGTAATTGCGTCCCTTGATTAAAATGCAGAATTCTACAATGTCATTCAAATTTTACGAATAATTTATATAAGAACTCCTTTGTTCAACGATCTCAATTCATTTGGAGAAATAATTAACGTCATGCGAGATTGACAACAGAATCTTAGCTAAAATTTAAAAGCAAAATGTAATTGATAATATATGATTTAAATACAAAAAAAAAATATATAAAAAATGTGAATGTAACTTTTATTGTAAATTAATTTAATAGAAGATTCAGAATGTATGAAAACTGCATAGAAAATTTCTTCAGGAGATGCGATCCAAGTCAGGTTGAGAGACACTCGGATAGCTCAGATTTCGAGAATCCAAACGAGGTACAATTCGAGAGTTCAAAATTTTCATTAAGGTCTTTAGTACGAGATGAAACACGGTTTGATAAGCCAGAAAGAGATTTCAACGTCTATCACGCCAGTAGCAAGAAGAAACAGTATACAACACGCTCGAAAAGCCCTCATAGAGATAGAGAAAATGTGACAAAACATAGAAAAATAAAATCAAATGTAAAACAACAAGAAACTGTCCCAAAACGACGGTTAAACCAAAGCGATGAAATGTTAGAAAGAAAAATTAAAAATAGCGGTGATCAGAGCATATCGAATTTGACGAAATGGTGTTATTCGAAATCTATTTTACGGGACAAGGTCATACCGTGTCTGTCAACTATATTCAGACGTTCACATAACTGTAACAAACCCATGATGATTATAGAGGAAGACAATAAAACAAAAAGGACTGATAATAACAAACAAACTTGCTGTCCATACTGTAAGCGACAAAGATCAAGTAAAAAGAGACAGAGGAACGTCATACCACTACATCCAGTGTATGCTGTTAATCAGAATATACATGGGTTCCCTATACCGTATTCCATACATCAGGTATCGTTAACTAAAGTCGATTCTACAGCGGAACACCATTGCACAGAGGAGTGCTTCGAAAATAATTACTGCTCATCAGATTCTGAAGTTGAAATTATAAATAAGCGTAAAGTTAAAAAAAAAAAAGAAGTTATGAAAGAAAGGGTTCAGAGTAGAATTAGAAGCGAATTCATTGAAAACGACGCTTCAAGATGTCAACAACAGCAGTTTCCTTCGAAATCACAACTGATGAAACCTTACCAGGTATTAACATCCACGTCTTGTCAAGCAAAATCTGATCTGAACTTAGACACGACCCCATCTATACTCTGGAATTCAATAAAGGAGAAAATAAACTTACCCGCTGAACTTATAAAACCGTGCTGTTGTAAAAAACCTCCTCTACCTTGCAATCCTGAAACATGCAAAAGATTAAATGACTTAAACAGTAGTAACGACTCGAGTATGATTAATAACACAAATTTGCCTAACATTAATAAAGAAAACCTTTCTAAGTTCCTAGAAAACTTATCAGGCGAATCAATTCCTCCAAATCCTATTGGAAAAAAAGAAGTTAAGAAGAAAAAACACAAGACATCTAATATTTGTAAATGTTATGACGATAAAAAGAATACGAAACCGGAGACTTTGGACGCTGAGGTACAAAAGGACATAGAGAAAACCTGTCAAGAAAATCACGACAAAATAGCTGGCTTACTTACTAAGAAATATAATGGAGAAATATTATGTATACATAATCCACCGTGCATTTTAATCAACGGGTGCCTCAGCTTACCGCCCCCTAAAGTTGAAGTACAAGGAAACTTATGGCCTGTTACACAACATAAAAAATCTAGTTTCGTACAAATGTGTCGAAAAATGAAACGTACTAAAGATATCAAACCATACAACGAACAATCAAGTCAGTACCATCCACCATACGCTGATATAAAACAGTGTCTGCCAGAATTTGTCACGGAGAAAGTAATTCAAAGTGTTTGTAATCACAACCCACCTTGTGAAGTCGTTCACGGATGCTATAAAGCCAAATACGACCCGAGGTTACATAATTCGTGTATTCACGTACCGTCCTGCAATAAAGTACCTCAATGTCTGCTGGGGACACACTCTATCGAGAATAACTCCTGCGTACACAAGCCCAAGTGCCCAGAAATACCACTCTGCTCCAGACAATATATATTACTGACTGCGAAGGAGAGTGTCAGTACACAGATACAACCAAAGAACAAGATCTGCCGGCATGAGCCACCATGTTTCATGATACCTAAATGCCTAGCTACCGCTATCTGCGGGGACTACATCCCAGTGGGAGCCATACCAGGTTGCACGCACAAGCCTAGCTGCGAGATGATTCCCGCTTGTTGCAGACAGTCTAACAAAGAAATGGTCTCTGTTCACTCTCAATATCCAAATACCTCTTGTCGCATAGTCTGAAGTTGGCTGAGGATGTATGAAAGGTTTCCTGTTTGATTAAGATGCACTTAGTAGTGGCATTCTAGATAAACTATCAGCTACCGTCCGTTCAGTTCAACATGTTCTCATATAAAAATGCATCGAGTAGATGAGATATTGTCTTTTAGAGTAGACGAGGCTTGTCTTAATTGCATTAGACACTTAGCTTAGTGCTGATATGTTTGTATCGTCCTAGAGTAGGCAATTTTTGATATCAATTTAAAAGCGACTTCACTCAACATATATCGTTAGCTCCATTTAGTTCAAGATTGTTATTTAATTAGTTAAATAGATTTAAATCCGATTTTACCACAAAGTTGAAACGTTGTTTCAATGACGTGCTTAAGAATGTATGTAGGGAATAATATTATATTACATGTTTAATGAATAATATAACAAAATATCATATGAAGATTTGTAGAGAGAACTTTATCTTTCAACGTCTGTTACAACGATATGATATCAACTATATATAATCCGACACATAACAGGAAAAAAAAATCACTATAATTTCATTATTAATTTAGTTACTGCGATAGTGCGTTCACTACCTATGTTTTCATCATACAACTGATGGAATGATAGTCAAGCACTATTCAGTAAAAAAAAGATTTCATAAATCAAGAGTTTGAAACAAAATTTTTAATTCAAACTAATTCGATGTAACAACATAGTAATGTATCATAAGTGTTTAATAACGTGTATTATATATGAGGTAATAATATAATGAATCTGTTCCAGGGCCCCGTCTCCCAGCCAACGCTGCAGCTCCGCCAAGTTTGTGATTGTTGATCGTGAGCCTCCCAGGTGTAAATTTGTACAATTTGCAAGCTGTGCCTAATGGCCGTCAGACAATAAAGCCTTACATCCACAATTAGCCTTTCATTTATTTGTGTGCTAACTGAACCGAATATAACACCGGCACGCTAATATTTTACATTTCTACCATTTAAACAATATTATTATTAACATTTTGTGATTTAAAACCAAATAAAATTTAACTTATTCGTTTGCATTCTTTCTGATTAAAACTAATTTTATATAGTTCCAATGATATGTGTGTTTACTTTCCGAAATTTCATGAGATAATTTATTTGGTACGCGGCGATTAACACAAGAATTCTAAATAACAAAACACAATTGTCTCGTATGGAATATTTTATTTTTAAATCTATTGAATGCAAATCGATGATTTTTAAAGCTGAACATTCTCTCACGCCGTATATACCACCTCCATACTAATAGGCTCCGGATTTCATCTTCGAAATTGATACTTGAAATGTCTCATCTCTGTCTTGGTAAAAACTTCTTATACATTTGTGACAATAAATCATATAATAACTTAAAAACATTAATCAAATTTAATACCGTAATATTATTTTTAATTAAAAAAAAAACTAGATTAGAAATCTATTAATTAATCGAGTAGTGTTATATTGAAAACTGTAAAATATTTTGGGGGACCAGTTTATAAGTCTGTGCATCCAATTCTAGAGACACGATAACGCTTAAATTCTCATACATTCCATCTGATCGAAAATTGTCGGTTCTTAATAGTCAATGGAACCGGCCCGGAGCAATGTCTATAAACATTTCAAACTTATAGCTTAGAAAAATTTCCTAATCTATGGGTACCCGAGTGAGGAATTTTATCATTTCAACCGCCTTAAAGTGAAGAACCAGTTGTGCGACCGTAAAATGAAAAAAATCTCTATTTATATTCGTATACCATTTTGAGCCTTAACAGTTTGATATAGAGTTGATAATCGTTTGTTTGGTGAAAGCAAGATATAGCTCTGTGCTGTGGAGTAACTGGGATCAAAAACTAATGAGCAAAGAACGTTGACCTCGACCAGTTTTGGTCCCATCATTCTTAGTATTCCGTAGATATACCATTAAAACAATGCTTGTAGAAAACACTTTAATGAAATAAATATGAGCCGGCTCGAATGCAGCCTTCTTATATATTCACATATATCTATATAGATTTATTATTTTAATACCGACAGAGAAATTCTTACCTAGCTCTAATAATAGTCTAGATTATTATAACTAAAATATATATCAATAACAAATGGGATAAATGTAAATTCTGAGCTGTCTCAAATCCGAACGGAGGTCTGCGTTAAGCTGTTGGTATTTCTTTGTGTAACGTTATAAACGACAGTCCGAGTTAAAGTAACGCAACTAGATTTCAACAAACACCCCGCAGTTCAAACAGCTCATATCTAAATTAGAGACAAAGACAGAACTCGTTGCGGCGACGAGACATTTATATAAATCATATACCAGTCGGCATTACGACTGTCATAATAAATACCATTACAACTTTCTAAAAAGCGAGAATCGAACCCACACTACTATCTGTATGCTAATCACGAACGTAACGCCTACGTGCTGTTATTCAAATACAAATATATGCAAACGGCTCCACAACTCGTATAAATCTATTAGTGAGTGAGACGTCAAATCAAATTCATTTATTGGACTGTTTTTATGAATAAAACATGACAATTAAAAAAGCTAGTCCGTCATGTTTTTTAGAACATGGAAATATCTAGAAGTTTCACATGAACATCTGGGAATGTTACGAGTAGCATTCTACTACGAACATAAACTGTGAATTAAAAAAATATATTATATTTTTCTTACATTTTATGTTAGAATATTAGTTACATATGTTACACGTTTCTTAGTTTATAAATATAAAAATGTATATTGAATAAATGTAATACAAATCAGAATTATCTGACATTAAACAGCATACACGTTACTGCCAGTACAATTAAATTAATATTATAATAGAAAAAACGTCCATAATAAAACATTTATAGTTGATTATAATTACAAAAATATAAATGTACAATTTTACGTAATAGTTATTAATTTTAATGAAAATAAATTTATATGATAAAAAATGAAATATTTTAACTAAAAACTATTTAATTACGTCGATTAAAATATCAATGAACCTGTATTAAGAATTATTTTTTTCCTAATTAGTATTATGTATTATATACTTTTATTTTCTTTAGTATTAATTCAAATACGAAATTGTATCTTAAGTGATATATAATCAGTTTATCGTCATCAAAAGCCACGGGCAGAGCCTAGTGAGTAGGCATTCATAAATAGATATAGGTTTTTAGTCCGTTCTTTCAAATAATCTTAATATATTTCATAATAATTTTAAATGAACTTATTATTTTCTTTAAATATTATTTTCATGACAAATTGTATTAGATTCAATTGAATTTCTACTATCAAAATTAAATCGTATTAAGCATATTAAAACTAAGATTATTTTCTTTAATAAAACAATGAACCACCCTAGCTTTCAAGCATTCAATCCAAATACATATATACAAGTAAATACATAATAATATAATATAGTATTAGTATATGAGTCGTGACAGAAATTTCAACTGCAGTATTACTGTCAATATCTTCTTGCTCATAGAAATTAATAGATCATACCGTATTGTATTTTTTGCTTGATCTGCTTTGTCTTGATGCCAGGCATCTTCTATCTATATTATGAATCAATCAATTTATATTACAAATGTCTTTATATGTCTGGCAGAAGATTGCATCCTCATATAAATATACGTATTTATAATAGGTATATATACACAAATACCTACTACATATATATTATACTATACTACATATAATGTACGAAGGTTTATATATGTAAAACTATACAATAATATTATTTATAATACATACATACTTAGAAATATTTCATATATGATATATTTTAATATAATAATAACAAGGTATCTGAAAATATGGTGCCTCCCACATATTATGTTGTTGTATCTCCAAAACTGTAAACTTACAGTAGAGCGTTTCAAAGATTCAAATTAAACCAAAATCTGCAAAATTTGAAAATTACAACATTAGGTATACCTGACAAATGCTTTAAAAATAGTGTTTTTATTTTTTTTTACTTTGAATGGATATAATGATTCATAATATATTTTTCAGAAAAAAAGCAAAAAAGCATTTTTGTTTCATACAACAACTAACGTGGGAGGTATCGACATGTATGTATGTTAGTCAGTCTTTCATACAGAAACTGTTAAAATGATTCTGATAAAACTACTGTATTTAATATCAAGATATACAAAAGACTACCTAACAAGAATATATTTTTTATTCGCATTATAAACCCGATTTAATTACATTCGACCAATTTTATTTTAGTTTCTGTTTATAGATGACGTGATAACAGGCGAACCCTTTAACAATTTATATATTAATGAGGACCAGGAGGGCATCTTTACCATCCATCAGTATTCGTCGTAATTCGTTTAAATGACCGCAGGTGTATTCACAATTACATGCACTTAACATGATAACTCTGTGTTTGTGACTTCCTAATACACTGTCCATATATAACAATGACACTACATAACAAAACGATCCTTCAATCTATACACATATGGTTCATATTTAATTAGCAATAATTTATGTGATATATATGTATATAAAAGATGAACCTGTTCGAGATGTTTGTGCAAGGGAAGCTGGAGGTCGTTTTTGCTGAGTCATCAATGCGGCCGCGGCACCTCAAACCGGTGATCCGGGTTCGATTCCCGTTCACGGTTTATATTACAGCTGCTTTTCTTTATTAGGACCTGGCTAAATTAGTCGTTAAATTGTCTTAATGGTTGTCTCTTCGACGGCTTTTAAGAAAATTTTCCTTGAGTTTTATTTGAGAATTATGTCATAAAGGTGTTCGTAGCTGCAATCAATTCATTATTTTGATGGACGTCGTAAAATTAGGCTTAAGTTTTTGGTCAATTATTTAAAGAAAGAATAACAAATTTTTAGTTATGTAGACTCTCCACCGCATTGTCAACAAAATTTTAATTCGGAATATTCTTAAAGAAAAACAATTACAAATATGTTTTATTAACTATATTGTAAAGATTTAATAAAAAAATTCCTAAGTATTAAATTCGATATATACGATA